GTTTGGCGCAGACCCGGCTGTCACCGGCCACCTGCTGCAGCTGGCCCGCCAGCTTGGACTGGACGTGGTAGGGGTGAGCTTCCACGTTGGGAGCGGCGCCACAGACGCGCGCGCGTTTGCCGATGCGGTTGCACGCGCGCGCGCTGTGTTTGACGAGGCAGCAGCCCTCGGCTTCAGCCCGCACCTGCTTGATGTTGGGGGCGGTTTCCCGGGAGATGATCCCGCTGCGACGCCAGCGGCCGCAGTCCGGTTTGAGGACATTGCGCGTGAGCTCCGCAGCGCCTTTGCAGAGCACTTCCCGCCCTCGGCGGTGCCTGGTCTCCGCATTATTGCTGAGCCGGGCTGGTACTATGTTGCGTCCGCCAGCTCGCTGGCTGTCTGCATCACTTCCAAGCGCCGCGTGGTGGATGTGACGGCCACCACACCAACGGCAACGACGGGTGCGACGCCTACGACGCCTGCGAGCAACGCCACCCCCCACCCCGCCACTGAGCCGCCACCAAAGTTCATGTACTACGTGAATGACGGCGTGTACCAGTCGTTCAACTGTATCATCTTCGACCACGCGCGTGTGCAAGCGCAGGTGCTGTACACGGGCAACGGCGTGCCGGCCATGGACGACGAGCACCTTGCCGCCGCTGTTTTGCACGAGAGCAGCGTGTGGGGCCCCACGTGCGACTCCATCGACTGCGTGCAGGCGTCGACGATGCTGCCGGAGCTGGATGTGGGCGACTGGCTTGTCTTTGACAACATGGGCGCGTACACCTCGTGCGCTGCCAGCACGTTCAACGGCTTTGCGCTCACCAAGCACGTGTACACCTTCAGCCATGTCCTTGTTGACCTGCAACGCGTCCCCGCCGCGGACGGCATCGCGCACGTGCCTGCGGCCTTGCCACTTGCCGCCGGATTTGCTGTTGCGCCATCCGCCGCCACCACGCCTGCGGTGACTGCCACCCTTGGCGCCGCCACCGCTGCCATTGCGAGAGCACCCAAGCCAGTTGGCCATGCCGTGCCCATCCCCACACCTGTCAGCTAGCGGCGCCTGCACACACACATACACACACACACACACACACACACACACATGCATGTGTTTTTCGGTTGAATCTTTTTTGTTGTCACCTGGTGTCCATTATTGCATGACGATGTCTCTTGTCTTTTAGTTTGGTTGTGATTTGCACTCCCAAGATGGTGGTGGTGGCGGGTGTTGTGTTTGGTGCTTCTACGCTATGCTACGCTTCGCCGTGTTCCTTCTTTCTCGATTGTTTGCCTTCTCGTGTCATTGTTGTTGGTTGGTGGTGGTGGTGTTCAGATTGTATCGCATTGCATTGCGTCTGTTGGGCGTGGTGAGGATTGGTTGCCTCTTGACCTTGTTACTTTGTTTGATGTGGTGCGCAAAGGCCCCTTGTCGCTGTGCGTCCTGCGTGTGACCTCTTGTGTGTATCATTCCGTTGACGGACGAAATACACGACAAGCACAGCACCAGCCCCAGTTGTTGTTGTTGTTGGTCAAACAAACGTGCAGCAGAAGAGGCGAAGAGAGGAGTGAGGCGAGTGCACGCGCGTGCGGTGGGGGGCAAGGACGACGAAAGAACGAAAGCGCGTGGATATGTGGTTGGAGTACGCAGTGATCCGAAACGAAACTGAGCGTCTCGTCCTTGTATCGCCTACTTGCGGGCCGAATCGTAGTTGTCAAAGAACCACTTGACGCTCTTCTTGATGCCTGTCGTGCAGGTTTTGTTGGTCATGAGATGGTGCCAAGGCACGGCAGATGTTGACAGCCACAGACAGGAGCAGACGGACCAGACATAGACAGGTAGACGGGCAGGCAGGCAGACACACACACACACACACACACACACACACACACACACACACACACACACACACACACACACACACACACCTTCTTCGATAGGGGTGAACTTAAAGTCCGGCAGGTACTTGCGCAGCTTGGCGTTGTTGGCGGTCTTTTTGAATTGACCGTCGGCCTTTGTCGTGTCAAACACGATATCGCCCTGGAAGTCTGCGGCGCGCGCGACCATGTGCACAACATCACGGATGGAGACTTCGTCCTCCTCCCCCACTGCACACACACACACACACACACACACACACACACACACACACATTTGTGTGTACATTAACACAGCATGATGCCAACGTACAGCAATCGAACATTTGCGTTTAACATCACGTCACGTGTGAGTTTGGATCAGGGGCGAAGAGTCACAGAGACTCAGGGAGAGAGAAGGTAGGCACGCAGGTGCAGACAGCATGCCTGGGTGGCTTTCGGGGGATACATACATCCACAATAAATCCACACAGAGAGATAGAGAGACAGACAGAGACGGACACACACACACACACACACACACACACACACACACACACACACACACACACACACACACACACACACACACACACACACAAACAAAGAAAGCGATTTGTCACCTGAGAGGATGATTGGGTCGATCTCTGGATATTCGCGGAGGGTCCAGACCATGAGGCGGCCAAGGTCCTCGGAGAAGACAAATTGGCGCAGGGGAGAGCCAGACCCCCAGCACGTCAGCGCCTCGCCCTGAGCTGATGGTGGCAACGATGGTCACGAGGGTCATGATGGTGGTGATGATGTTCGTGATGATGGCGTGAGCGGCAATCAAGGGCTTTCGTGGATGAGCGAGGACGAGGCAGTCACAGAAACACAGACGCAGCAGACACCACACAAGCACACAAGGTAACAGGCTCTGCATCGCACATGCACAGGATTCTGTATGGGTAGTCAGCCGGGTGGTCATTAGAGGGGCGGGTGATGTGTACATACTCTTTGCTTTGTAGACCTTGTGGATGAGACCTGGAATCACGTGCCCGCCCTGGATGTTGAAGTTGTCGTGGGGACCGTAGATGTTGGTGGGGATCACGCTCGTGAAATGGCAGCCGTGTTGTTCGTGGTATGCCCTGCATGGATCATGCATGTTGGCGGTCAAGAGTGCCGATCATCAACAGTGCGGCCTTCGCCAGACAGCTATAATTTCCGATACATTCACTGGAGGACAGTGCTGGAGGGACAGTGGCAGTGACAGACAGACGGATGGATGGACGTACAGAGAGACAGGCAAAATGCACATACACACAGGCACAGGCACAGACACAGGCACAGACACATACATACAGACAGACAGACAGACAGACAGACAAGCGCACGCCGGATGGACGCACCGGTCGAAGACATCCACCATGCGCTTCGCAAACGAGTAGCCAAAGTTGGAGTCGTGGGGCGGTCCATTGTGGAGCTGTGGCGGCATGTGTGCACAGGTCACGGAGCATCATGAAGATGAGATTACCTCAGAGCAACAGTCGCCAGCACAAGGCGCAAGCACAAGCACGCTTGTTGTCTGCGCGTGTGCGGGTGCGTGTGCGTGTGTGTACGCAGGGGGAGGGAACACACCATGGTTTCGTCAATGGGGTACGTTGTCTTGTCGGGAAAGATGCACGTTGAGAGGCACGACACACACTTTTTCACCTGCACACGAAAATGCGACGTTCAGGCATAGATCGCAAGCGTGGTCAGCGCATACGAAACGTGAACTGGCGCTGGCCAGCAGCAACGCCAGGGCAAGAACATCAGGAAACACTCGCGAGTTTTATAGTTGGCACAAGAGACGAACAAAACATCGGCAGATGCTCATGTACGAGCGCAGCGAACCTCAAACTTGCGGCAGCATTCGAGCACGTTCATGTTCAACAGCATGTTCTGGCGCTGTAAGGCATCACTCGCGCGTGTGTGTGTTTTGAAATAGCGACGTGTTGTGAGACAGCAGCAGGGTATACTCAAGCACAGAATATATCCAGGATACGCACAGGAACGCGCGCACGGGGGGAGGGAATCGGTACAAGCTGCTGCCCACCAAAAAGTCGAGGTTGTGGCTCATATTGTCAAAGAGGCCACCAACGCGAGCTGCAAGGTGAATCACGTGCGTGGGCTTGTGGCGAGCAAAGATGGCTTCGCACTGAGCCATATCCCTGCATCGACGTAGCGCAGCAACCATGCCGTCATTCACATTGGGGTCAAGAAGAAGCGGGGGGGGGGAGAGCAAGCAAAAACAACCAACACGTGCAGACGCAGATACACAGACAAAGACAGAGACGCGGAGGCAGACAGGTAGAGAGCGCTAGCAACAACGACACACATACACATGCAGACAGACAGACACAAAAACACACACAACGTCCACACACACAAACACACACACACACACACACACAGACACAGAGACACAGAGACACACAGAGACACAGAGACACAGACACACAGACACACACACATACATACGTCAGGTCGCCGTCAGCAGAAGAGAGAAAGACCCACTCCTCATCTTCACGCTTGTCCGCTTCGACGGCTGCACGAATGCCATAGCCAACCAGGCCAGTGCCACCTGTGACAATCGCCTTCATCGTGCTGCTTGCTTTTTTCTCGTTCCTTGTTGGCGGTTGGTTGTTTAAATGACACAAGACTGATTTCAGTCCATTACGTTCACACGAACAACACACAGATGCACACACACGCACACACATACACAGACAGACAGACAGACAGACAGACAGACACACACACACACACACACACACACACACACACACACACACACACACACACACACACACACACGCAACAGCGTTGTCGCGTTCCGTCGCGTGTAACATACATAACATTCGCAGTTAGTGAAAGAACAAGACGGGTTCCGGGGTGCAGCTAGAAATAGGAGTAAAAGGGCCATGATGGTGGTGGTGGTGGTGGTAACCAGTGGAAAGGTGCTGGGACTGCTGCTGCTGTCGCGTCTTCGGAACACATGCAATTAGTACATCATCCACGCGTCTGCACGCGAGTCGCCCGAGAACACGTCCCTGTCGGCAGAAAGAGAAGCAAAGGCAATGTGAGCGGGAAAACCAACACAAAGAGCAAGGGTGGCGGGCGTCAAAACGCCATGGGGATAGGCAGTCGCATCAACGCAGCGTAGGATAAACTCACGCTGCGCTCTTTGAGGCGCGAAGCGGCGCAGCGTTGGCGGTTGGCGGTGACCCCGCACTGCATCGGCAACAGAGTGTCGGTGAGGTGGTACAAAGAGAAAGACGGACGTGACACGTAAGCGAAAAGCAAGCAGCAGCTGACACAAACACACAGAACGCACACCACAAAGAAAAGTAGGCACACAACCATAGAGACACAACCACAGAGACAGAGACAAGCATACGGACGGACAGATACCCACACTCACACCCACCACACAGAGACACAAAGAGACACGTGCGCACGTGCGACTTACAAGTTGTTGCCAAACATGCCTTCCGCCACAGACTGGCGCTTCTTTGCTTTGCGCGCCGCCGTCGACTTCTCTGTAGTTACAGACAGCAGCACAGCCAGCAGGATGAGCAAGACAACACGATACCCCGGGCAACACAGGCGTGCGTGCGTTAGTTCGTGTAAGTGCATGCATGCATGTGTGTGCGTGTGTTTTTTGTGTGCTTGTGTGTGCTCGTGTACATGCATGTGTCTACATGTTTGCAATACTTTTGAGGGAGGAGCGAGACGCGTCGCTGACGAGTTCCAGCATCGACTGCACAAACTCGTGCTCCGAAATGACCACCTGTACATACACGCACGCACGCACACACACACACACACATACACACACACACACACACACGCACACACACAGAGGCACACTCAAAGCTGTGAGAAGGCAAAGAGGAAAACGCATTGTCGCTCACGAGTGTGTAGCCGGCCACTCGGCGCCAGACAACATTGCGAGAGCACGCACGGAGGATTTGATGTCCTGGTTGGTGATGACGTCGACGACGTGAGCGTGGACGGTGGCTGTTTCCAGGGATAGGCGTGTTTTCTTCATCATGATCGTGCACAGCAGCACGCGCGCGTCCGGCAGCTTCGCCGCACCTGTTGTGCAAGCGCACAAGGAACACACACACACACACACACACACACACACACACACACACACACACACACACACACACACACACACACACACACACACACACACACACACACACACACACACACACGAGCAGAGGCGTAGTGAGGGGGCGAGGTTGGCATGGCGAATACGGGCCACGTTGCAGCAAAGCATGATGCATTACCTCGTGCGTATGAGGGGAGGGCGCGAAAGGCCTTGAGGCTTTTCTTCACGTCTTTGAATCGGGCGGAGGACACGACAATTGGATCGCGCACCGCCGGCGAATCCGCTGAACGCGACACCATGCGAGACAATGCCGAGGGACACGGGGTGTTGCGAGCATCAGCATGGTGACACACATGGCGCTATGAACACCCGCAGACACCCAGGCACGGACAAGCGGACAGGCTGACTGGAAGGCAGGCTGGCAGGCAGACACGACACAGACATAGACATCGACACAGACACAGGCACAGGCACGCATGCGCACAGACACACACAGACACACAGACACACACAGACACAGACACACACACACACACACAGACACGGACACACACACACACAGACCTCTCGGGTGCTGGAGAATGGCGAGGACGGCGGCGGCGTCGGATTCGCCCACGAGTGCAATGGCATCGCGGCGGCAGTACACGACACCATCAGCAGTAGCGCAGCACAGCGACCTGCAGAGCATGGAGAGGAGGCAGAGGAAGAGCCAAGCCAACGACGGGGAGAAGAAGAAGAAGAAGAAGAAGAAGAAGAAGAAGAATCAGCAGCAGCATCGGTGAATGTGCTCCATGACAGGACAGCGTTCACGTCAAAGGTGAAGCGGAACACGTGACCAGGTGGCGCCTCATGAAAGCAGAGGCGTGGCCACCAACATCCATCTCCTCTGGGGAAATACGCACGCGAGCTTCGTCTTAGTGCGATGGGTGTGGGCGGTGGCGGCATGTGTGCCCGGGTCGAGTGCGCTGGCGCGCGTCGGAGATGCATCTGCCGACCGCTTCACAGGCCGCGATGGGCTGGGGATTGGGTTGATTCGCCCAAGACAAGGCAGGGTCATGTGAGATGATGACACAGCACACACAACTGCGCGGTACATTTGTGTGCATGTGTGTGTATGTGTGTGTGTGTATGTGGTGCGCGCGTGTATGTGTGTATGTGCATGTGTGTGTATGTCTGCATGTGTGTGTGTGTATGTCTGCATGTGTGTGTATGTGGGTATGTTTGTGTGACACGTTGCTGTTGTGATGTTGTTGTTGTGGCCCAAGGAACACACGTTGATTGGCAGCGCGGGATGGCGAGGTCCTCTGGTGCCGACTTGCGCCACTTGAGCCGGTCGTTGGCGTTGGCGCGGGCCGCCGCCTTCTCCTTTGCTCTGCTCGCCCGCCGCTCCCTGTGGCCGCTCCCGCTCGTGAGTTGCGGTCGTGGCTCGTGTGCACATGGACAAGCACAGACACGCAGGAAAGGCAGGCAGGAAAGGCAGGCAGGAAAGGCAGGCAGGAAAGGCAGGCACCCAAAACCACAACAGACAACACACACACAGACACACACACACAGACACACACAGACACAGACACAACACACACGCACACAAGACTGACACAAACCACCCCCCCCCCCCACATACACACAACACACGCGCACACACAACATCAACTCACGACTTTGAGGGCTTGATTGCGGTCTGTGCGGCGTGGATGAGCTGCGCCTGGTCCCGCGTCCACGTCTCCACCCGCTCCCGCCGAACAGCGGGCACGTTATCGTGTCCAACACCAGCATTGTCGTCGTCATTGTCGTCATTGTCGTCACCATCAGCGCGGGTTCGGCGCCTGCTGCGGGATTTCCGGCGCTCCTTTCCGCTCTTCTGCCGCCGCTGCGAGTCATGCACCGGCGCCATCGCCGCCATCTCGCACGCCAGCGAATCCACGTCGGCCCGTACCGCCCGGCCCGGCCCGTGGTTGCCTGCAGGCAAAGATGGCAGAGGCTCGAGCACGCGCGCTACTGTCTTGGTGGACGCTGCATCCTTCTCAGACACATACACCCCATAGGCCGGGTCAACCTCCCTGTCCACGCAACAGCCACCACACATGTACCAATGGCAGACGCATGTGCACGTGAGGTGTGTGTAAGTGTGTGTTTGTGCGTGTATGTGTGTGTGCGTGTGTGTGTTGTGTGCGTGTGTGTGTTTGTGCGTGTATGTGTGTGTGTGTGTGTGCGTGCGTGTGTTGACAATCGCGTGTTGCAAGTGTGGGTGTCCTGTGTCTGCATCGGTTGCCCGTGTGTACACCTGTCGTTGATGAGGATGACTGCTTGAAAGAGACCCGACTGGGCGGGAACGAAGGATATCCTGAGCGCTGCACACACAGCACCAAACAAGAGAGAAAGACAGTGTGTGTGTGTGGCATGGTGGTCAGGGCAAGCCTCAACGCCACAATCATAGCCAGTCTACACGCACGACAACAGCAACAAGCACAGCACCACACACACACACACACACAGACACAGACAGGTACAGAAACAGACAGACAGACACAGACAGGCACAGAAACAGACAGACAGACAAACAGAGACACACGCACAGATACAAGCAGTCCATCGTCATCCAACCGTCATGTGTGGCGCTGTGATTCGCGGCCTCCAGGCGGATGCGGGAGCGAACCGTGGAGCCACTCGCGTGCTGAACCTAGGACAAGACGCGGTGGTCACAGATGAGCCCAAGGCACGTGTTTCTGGCTCGGGCCGCTTGTCAAGGAAACACAGGTTCGCACACACAGGCAGGTAGGCAGACACACAGACACACAGACACACAGACACAGACACAAAGACACACACACACACACGGGGTTGCACCTGGCAGCGCAGCTTATCGGCGTCGCGTGCACCAATCTCCACTGGGAGAGCAACCTGGCACAGGCAGTGGCGGGTGGGGGTTCAGTTGCGCGCGCGTGTGTGTGACGAGACGATAAGAACATGCAGGTCACAACAACAACAACAACAACAACAACAACAACAACAACAACAACAACAACAACAACAACAACAACAACAACAACAACAACAACAGCAACAACAACAACAACAACGTGACAACAACAACAACAACAACAACAAGTGACAACAACAAGTGACAACAACAACAAGTGACAACAACAACAACAAACAAACAAACAAACAACAACAACAACAAACAAACAAACAAACAAACAACAACAACAACAACAAGAAGCAAGCAGCAGCAGCTGTCCGCACCAGTGAGGTGATCATGATGATGGTCCACCTCCTCCTTCCTCCGTGATAATCTTGCTGTCAGCCAGCCAGAGAGCGAGGGAGCAACCAGCAACAAGGCCTTCTTCTTGCGACTTCCAGTTGCGCTATTTTCGCGTTTGTTGTTGTGGCTGCCAAGAAGTTGTTGGCGACCACAAGCAAGCAGCAAGCGGCACACGTGTGGGAAACACCCGTTTCCTTGGTCTGCGTGGTGTGCTTCGCGCCGCGTGGTGGTGGACAGAACAGCTGGGGCAAAGCGAACGCAGAAGAAGTCGAACAAGTCTCGCCCTCACGGTCGTGCGAATGATGTGTTCGACGACAGCATAAATTGCGAATGACATCAGGGCCAACGAGGATTAGCCGTGTTTTTCAAAGAACCGTCCCCTCTTTCGCAACCACGATCTTCCGTTTGTCAGGGAGAGGTTTTTGTGCGCGCTTCCGCTTCTGCTGCTGCGTGTGTGTGTGTGGTGTCTTGTTTGGGTTGCATTGCTTCACTTGTTTGGGTCAGAGACAGTTGTGTGCAGTGGTGTGGGGTTGTGGAAGCAACGCAGCAGCGCAGCAACAAGCAGGCACAGCAAAGGAAACCTGCGACCGTCATCAGCCGGCGATCCAACCACCACACACTGACTGACAGACAAACCGGACAAACCTCCATCCTGGGCTGGTTAGTTGGTTGGTTAGTTGGTTGGGAGGCCCTGCTGCTTGCTTGCCAACCATTGGATGGGTGAAGCAGCTTCAGAGTGTGAGTGTGTGTTATGTGTATGTGTGTGCGTGTGCGTGCGTGCGTGTGGTTGTGTATTGTGCTTTGGCATCCTCGCTGCTCACCATTGTCTTTGTGGTTGGTTGGTTGGTTGGTTGCTTCTGACTCCACGATTCCCTTGCTACTGAACTTGCTTGCTTGCTTGACTCGGCCACCACCGCTTTTCATCGCCCAATACCAAGCAAGCACATAGTTTCGCGTTGCTTGTTCGCCTATTCTCACATAGCAACTCCCACCCACTGTCGCTCCACTTGTCAGCGAGTCGCCCCTTCGTTTACCTCAATCATCATCATGTTCCACCTCGACGCCTCAGATTCCCCTGGCCCAGCCGCACACGACGCTGCCAGGTGTGTGTCGGGGAGCGCGCTTGCACTTGCCGAGTTGGCGCACTCAAACAGCAAAGATACTACTCTTTGTTTGAGCCCACAAGCAACTCACTGTGTTGCCTTCGTGTGTGTATGTGTGTGTGCGTGCGTGCGTGTGTGTGTATGTGTATGTGTATGTGTATGTGTATGTGTGCATGTGTGCGCGCGCGTGCGTGCGTGCGTGCGTGCGTGCGTGCGTGTGCGTGTGTGCGTGCGTGCGTGCGTGTGTGTGCATGTGTGTGTGTTGCTGGAGTACAGCTTCTCCAAGACATCGACAATTCGTAGCGCTCCCGCATTCTCCCTTTCCGGTCGCCCAAAGAACCCCCGCTCGGACAACCTTCCAGGTCCTTGTTGCAACAAGCATGTGTGTGCATGTGTACATGTGTGCGTGCGTGTGTGTGTGCATGTGCGCATGTGTGCGTGTGTGTGCATGTGTGTGTGCACTTCCTGCTCCCCCCCCCATCTCTCCCTCTGCACAAGTGTTTCTGTTTGCCACGCCTTATGGTCCTTGGTAATCTGCGCCACTCACCCATCCCTGCCTCATGCCCACCTACTCCACACGCCATCTTGCCAACCAACCAAACAAACAAAACACAAAACAAAACCAAAACAACAACAACAAAAGGCCCTGGACAACACTCTCTTGTGCAGGCAGATCGGCTGTCAACAACCCGCACCTCCCCAGCGTACACCATGCTCAGCCGTCCGCAGCAGCGTACCACCTCTGTCAGCCCCGGCCCGGCCAGCGTCACCATCAGTCGTCTCGACATGACATCAAGCGTCAGGTACCGCCAACGTCCTGACACGAACCTATGCGTTGTCCCCACAGGTCGAGGCGTGCACACCATCTTGCTCTTGTTTGGTTTATGGCGGCCTCGCAACCCCCACCCCCTCCATTGCACATCCCTTCACGCCTCCCCTGCACATGTGACCCCATGACGCCGAACGAGCAGGAGCAGCCCGGCCTTCAGTCTCTCCAGCCGCGCCCGAGACCACAGGGCCGACCTCTCGCCGGGACCAAACAACTACGGCGTCGTCGGTGAGTGCAGTGTCACGTGTGTGTGTGTGTGTGTGTGTGTGTGTGTGTGTGTGTGTGTGTGTGTGTGTGTGTGTGTGTGTGTGTGTGTGTGTGAAGACTTCTTGCTGTCTTCCTGCGCACATTTTGTGTCTGCTCCCCCCCCCCTCCTTTTTCTCTGTGTCTGTCCGTGTCAACCGCTTGCTCTGTAGCATGTACGTCCATGCCGGCCTCCGTGCATGCGTCAAAAAAGCTCGAGCTCGAACGGGACGCCTATCGTGCCATGTGCGGCATTCCTCACCACCAACCGTGCATCATATGACGTGCAGAGCCGACGCGGCTGTCGACGGCGCGCAAACCGCCGGCGTTCTCCATGAGCGGGCGGCACCTGGAGCGGCGTCTGGGCGATTCCCCGGGACCAGCCAGCATCTCCGCTACCCGCCTTGACCGCACATCCACGGTATCGTGCCCACCACCCATTTCAAACCCCCACCCCCTCTCCGTTCACGCGCTCGTCTTACATGCACGCACGCACTATTGGCGTCATATTGATTGCTGTCACCCAACGACTGCCACGAGTGCAGGTGCGCGGCTCGCCGGCATTTTCCATGAGCGGCCGCTTCAAGAGCAGCTCTGCACCAGCAACGCCGGGGCCAGGTACTTGCTCCCAGAATAATGTGTTCCAGCTGGTTACAGCGGCCAAGTTGCGCGAGCACAGCCAGTTTGACACACGCACACGACACATACACGCACGCACGAAGCCACATGCACACATGCACATCAACACATCAACACAACGACATACACACAGACACACACACACAGACACACACACACACACACACACAGGCACACACAGGCACAGACATACACACACACGCGCGCGCAACACCTAACTCCCGTTTCTTGCTCACTGCATGGCCATCAGGCGCATACCAGGCGACCAGCATCACGCGCGTGTCTACCGTGCAGTCGCCACCAAGTTTTTCCATGGGTGCCCGGACTGTGGATCGCATCCGAAACACCAATCCAGGTGCACGCGACCACGACATGTGCGCGCACGCTTGCCTTATCCTGTGCGCGTGCGTTTGAACGCCAAAGTGCGCAGTCGGTTGGACCTACAGCGTCTCACACACAGGGATCTTTGCGTGCATTGGGTGCAGGTCCCAACTCGTACAACATGCCGTCCGCCACGTCAACAAAGGCCGCGTCCATCAAAGGTGAAATACTCAAACAAGGAACAGTACACACACACACACACACACACACACACACACACACACACACATCTCCTTTCTCTTGGTTGTGTCCTTCTTTCCATGCCTCCCGCCACGACAGATGGCTTCTGTCCCTTGCAAACACATCCTAATACCCCCTGTGCGCGCCACCGGCTTTGTCTGTGCTGGTGGTGAAGGTCGAGCGCGCGACAAAATTGTGTCTGAATCGCCCGGCCCCATCTACTCTGTCACCACGGCCCCCATTGCCCGCACGGCCCCTGGCTACTCCATGGCCGCCCGCATCAAGGACAGCGCGGAGGCATCATCAACACCAGGTCTGCCACCGCTGCCAATCAACCACCATTGCATCACCTGCCTGCTACTTGTCAACCCACCCCTGTTCTCAACGAGTCGTTGCTAACCCCTGTCCCTGCTCTTCTCTCCCCTGCTGCTGTGCACCAATTGCAGGTCCCGGCGCGTATCGTGCAGCGGAGGCGCGTGACACCCGCGCTGCGTCCATTAAGGGCCGCGCAAAGCCGTTCAAGGCGGCCACGTCCCCCGGGCCCGGCGCGTACAGCGCCACGTCGCTGCCAGGGGCGCGCACCAACCCGGCATACTCCATGAGCGGTCGCCTCAAGTCTCGCGAAAGTAAGCCGTCCGAGGCGCGCGTGTCTTCGCCGCGGTGGTGTGAGTGTTGGTGGCCAGATTGTCGCTCGGTACCCATTAGCGGCTGTTGTGTCTCGTATGTTCATGCCACTGCGTACCTTACCTCATTCACCACTTGCATACACTCATACACCCCCTCCCTCTCTTTTCGCGCCGCATTTCTGGAATCCTCACCTTGCTTGCCCCATTGTATCACACACCATCACCACCACCACCACCACCACCACCACCGCCACGACCATCTTCATTGTCAGGTTCCAACGGGCCTGGTCCCAACGCGTATGCGGTGCTGGCGGATACAAAGCGGAGTGCACCGCAATACTCCATGAGCGGCCGCTTCAAGTCGCTCCGTCAGGAGAACACGCCCGGGCCCGGCAACTACAGCGCGCAGCTCTCCTCCTCCCAGGGCAGCGGTTTTTCCTTTGGCGTTCGCCACAGCCGACGCGTTGGTGTCCTGCCGGACTGAACCGGCACCGCCCGCTGCTCCGCGCCGCCAACCACAGACGGCTGAAGAAGACGCTGGCTGTTTTGTCGTTGATTCTGTGCGGTGCAACATTTGGTGCGCGCGTCATGCGCTCTGTTAAAGATTGTCTCGCGCTCTGCTGTACTGCATGGTGGGTGCGATTGTGTTGGTGGTGGGTTGTTTTGCTGTTGTGTGGTTGTGTGGCCGTTGTTGTGGTGACAGTTGTGTTGTTTTGCCCTGCTGTTCTTTTGTTTCTGTTTGCTTGTTCGTTGGTGAATGTTATGCGCGCTGCGTTCATCGCTGTTGACGTTCATTGCCGTTGTCTTTGACATACTAGATCATGTTGCATGGGGTGAATCTCACATGTGAGAGAGGCTGTGCTGCTATTGATGAAGCGGCTGTTGTTTGTTTGCTGTTGTTGATCGCTGGCTCTACTGCCATGCCTTGCTGCCCGATGGATTGCGTGCCTTTCTCTGCTTGGCTCTGTTTGTTTCGCTTGCTTTGCTTACTTGCTTGATACATTGATTGTACTGAGTGGTTGGGAGTTTGGGAAACTGACTCGAATCGAAACCAAATGAACGAGAGCACTCTGAAGCGTTATTTGCGCAAGGGAACAAGCAATTGCATTCTGTGGGCAAGCCCAGCCAGACAGAAGCCAGCAAGAGTCAGAACAACACGTGAAAACAGCACGTGAACAAACATCCAACAGCAAACACACGCAAATACAGAAACACACACAATCTTAAAGATAGGAAGGAGAGGGGGGGGGGGCGGGTCTCATCATCAAGCTGATGTGACACGTCTGAAAACACAAACCGCGCAATGCATTACATTACGCTTCAGCCTCCTGCGGCTCATCGTCCACATCCTCGCCACGCTTCAGCCTAACACCAGCACAGAAGCATGTGAGCGATATGGCGACATTGGACGGTGTGCAACACTGCCCAGTGCTACACCTTTCCCGACGCCACACACACACACACACACACACACACACACACACACACACACACACACACACACAACCAGACAGACAGACAGACAGACAAACACGACGCATACACGCACTTTGCGATGATTTCTTGCAGACGCGCGATCTCTGCGCTCTCTGCGTTCTTCTTTGCGTCGTTGGTGATGGTCTTGACGCGTTCGGCGTAGCGAAGCGAGTTGATCGTCTACACAACAGCAACATCGAGTGGCAGTCCGAGCAGGGGCAAGGCACCAACATCATGAGAGATGAGTTCACGGAAAGCATGCTATGTTCTGAGCAGCG